TGAATAATTTAACTATCACTGATGTTTTAATCTTAGCAAATATCGAATTAAAAGAAAAATATGTAGATTTGTTCCAATTCAACTTTTTTTTCAGTTAGTTCCTGTATTATCATAACACTTTTCATTCATACTTCACAGAGGTATATCACTTTCTTTTGTGCCTTTAAATTTTCTCTATCCTGAGACAAAGTCACATCAATTCATGAGTTTGCACAGAAGGATGATTACACTTCTAGAGAATAAACATTGACCTGGATAATTTAACAGGCACTCACCATCAGAACACTTGTTCCTGTTACCTGATTTTTTTTTTTCAGGTAAATATGAATATATAATAGCTTTAAATTGCTGGTTTGTTTGGGGTGGAAATCCAAAATGGTTCAAAGAGATGATACTTGAGGAAAAATACAACTCCATATTAAAACTACATATAATACCATCAATTTCAATTTGTGGTTTAAACTTTTAAGTAAATAACAAGAAAAGGGAGGAGGAAGAGGAGAGAGAAGGAAAAGACATAAAGAGGGGAAGGAGGAGGAGGAGGAAGGAGGGGAAGGAGGAGAGGGTAGAGAAGAGGAAGGAGAAGAGAGGAAGAGGAAGAAAAGGCAGAAGAGAAGAGGAAGAGAGAAGGAAGAGGAAGGAAACAGCAGGAGGGATAAGGAGGAGAACGGAGGAGGACAAAGTAGGAGGAGGGAGGAAGAGGGGAGTAGAGGGAAGAGGAAAGTGAGGAGGAAAGAGGAAGGAGGGAAGATGAAAGAGATGAGGCAGAGGGGGCGGAAAAGGGGAAGAAAATTTCATTCTCTGATCTACATTCAAGTCGAACACTTAGATTTTCGGTTTCCTTAAAGCAAACTCACCATTGCAGTTGCCATTAGATAGAGAATTGAGCAGCGTGTTTTGTTCACACTGCAATGGAAACAAATGCAAAGAAAAATGTTATAAAAGTTCATTTCTGTCTGTGAAAAAAGTACATCATTCTTTTCTCTATAAAAAATAACCAAAAAAATAGTCTCCAACAATTATTTTTCACTAATCGTGTTTTCAGAATGATGTATACAACAAACTTCGACACAATAAAATGATCCTTAGTTTTAACTGTATATTAGTTCGGTAGATAATTCATGTTATTAAGTCAAACTATCTTCTTTAGAATATTTTCTGCAGGACTAAGATTGTTTTGATTTTGGATCAGAAATCAAACAATTGCATATGTTTTTTTATGTAGCATATCCAATCAGAAATTAACTTCATTAATAGAAATTAACTTCATTAATAGCATTCTCAGAAGGATAGCCACTGATCATGTATTTCATAGCACACAAAAGTTAACTGTTCATCTGTAGCTCCATGAAAATGTCCAAGAAATATTCCTGATTTATGGAAATGTTGGAGAATGAAAATGGCTCTGTATGCTAAATTTAAGCTTCTCTGACAACAATTGATGCCTCTAATCAGATCATATGCTATCTACTCCTCAAATAATGTATTATTGTTATTTTTGTTAATGATGATGATGATAGCAATTGGTATTTCTTCAATACCCATACCTAGGACTTTACATTAATCATTTAATTCTCAGAACAATCTTAATGAAGTTACTGATCTCATTTTCCATAGAGAAAGTTAAGATTAGAAATTTTAAATAACTTGATGAAAGTCACAAAGCAAGAAGAGCCTGGACTAGAACCAAAGTCCATGCCATTCTTATTCCAAACCTCATATTTCCAACCACTACATTATACTGCTTCTCTCATGCAATCAGTTTTTATCTTAAAGGCTGACTAGAGCACCTATATTTTCTCTTCTTGATGCCCAATGGTGTAGCTTATATATTTTAAGTCTGGCTCTGACAATTATCAGCTATACAGTTTCCACCAGGTTATTTCACATTTCTCAGTCTCAACCTTCTTTTTATGTAATATTCAGGTAATACCACTTCCATTGTAGGGCTGGTGATGATTAAGTTAGAAAGCCTAAGTAAAGGGGCTGGCCCCTTAGAAATACTCAATGAATATGGATTTCCTTTTCCTAATCTTAAAAATACCTTGTCTGAAATTTCCTGTGCAGAAGAATTTCAAATAATTTATGTAGATACTCTGCCTTCAAGAAGGTGGATCACAACTCCATACTCCTTAAGTGAGGGCTGCACACAGTGACTTCCTCCCAAAGAGTACAGTATAGAAAGGGAGAAAATAGAGGAACTTTACAGTGGAGAAACCTGGCAAACACCACCTCATCCTGGTGACCAAGGATAACATCAACAGTGATAAATCACATTCATAGGCAGCCTTGATACGATGTGATGATAAGGGTACTTTACCTCTATAGTTTTCCTCCCAAGAAGGGCCCCATACTCAGAAGGGTCTCCCACTTGGTTTAACGCTTTGCTGTCACCATCTTGAAATTCTTAATAATTGTTGAACAAGGGGCCTCACGTTTTCATTTTGCACTGGGCCCCTGCAAATTACATATCTGCTCCTGTATCTAGGGCCTCTATGGTATGGATCAGGGAGGGCCCCAGAGGCAGAAGCATGAAGCTGTAATGGACAGGAACATGGTTCCTCAGAAATGGGAGGGCCAAGATGGTCAATATACCTGAGTGACTGAGAGATAATACATGCTTAAGAGAAAAAAGAGATCTTTGTGATCTAGAGTAGTCAAGAAAAGCTTCGTGGAGAGTGTTGTTAACCAAGCTATTAATAATAATGTTAGCTATGCTTTTATAATATTGAGTAGGCCAAGCACTATTCTAAGTGCTTTGCATATATTAACTCATTTAATCATCTTGATTACCCATGAGAAAACTGAAGCATGAAGAGTCAATATCTCAGTTAAAGTCCCACAGCTAGTAAGTGGCAAACCCAGGCAGCTTACATTTAAAGGCCGTGCTGTTAACATTGCAGAGGGCTTAAGGATTCAAATGATGATAGATAGTTCATTTACATTAAATCATACTGGTACACATTTGATTCAATATCTCTGTTAATTGATATTATTTATGGAGATAAAGAATTCTGGAATTTTAGAATAATGTTATAATGATGGCAATAGGTTTTGTTTCTCTGAAGTCATTTATCATATTCTATTACTTTTAGAGTTTGCTCTAACACTTTTTTTGTTAGAACCTTGGTAAAAAGGTCATTTAAATTAGGTGATTTGTTTTATATATTCTTCTGATCGTTATAGTACCTGGTACACATGTCCATTAGATATATGCTAAATCAATGAATGAATGAACAAGAGAGTGATTACCTAAAAGCTAATTACAAGAACCAAATAAAAAGAATAATACAATCTTAGGTTTTGCTGAGGGGAGAGGTCTCCAAATACTTTTTAAAATGTATTATCATTTACTTGATACATTTTTTAGTGCCATGATATAAGGCTACCTGTAGTATGACATTGAAACTACTGATCCTACCTTGCTGATGTCATCAAGTAGCTGGTTGCTGGCATTTTCCTTTTGGATTATGTTCATTAAATCCATATGAAATTTCTTTGCATTAAGGAAAACGAGTGGGTTGTTTATTGAGATAATTTTCACCTGCTGCAGAGTTTCCTTTTAGAGGGGAAAAAATTAGATTTAGAAGTCTCAATTAAATAAGAGAATAACTATATCCAGCAAGTATAAATCTTATAAGTCCAAATACCACTCGATTGTGCAAGCAATCTTTTAACTAACATTTTAATTAGTGAAATTTATTTAGAGGCCTTAATGTACTATCATACTTCTTAGGGAAAATATATACTCCCTCTTTACTAAGAAACATTAATAATTGAGAGATAAATTGTAGCTTTTCAGAAAGTGACCCTTACTCCTACTGACTGGGTGTTGGGGAGGCAGTAGCCTAGAATATCCAAAGAAAAGCAGGAAGATCTATCCTCCCAAAAGTACCTCTTCCATTCAGTCTATCAACTGAAAATTAATTTACTTAGCTATCAGTATTTTTTAAAAGTGAAAATGTGTCTTGAATGGTTAACTGTTAGTCATTTACCTTGTAATGGCATAGCTTTCCTTTAGCTGAAATATAACTTTACAAGTGACTGGTAGTCCTAATTAGAAGACAGAGGCCAAGAGGCAGTATCAGGAATATAACTTCACTTTGGGTAGGCCTAGGTTACTGAATTGCCAGGATATAGGTGAGATATGCAGAAAGAGAGAAATAAAAGTTTTAACATAAAAGACGTCTGCTTTGGCCATCTGCCCAGGTATTAACGGCAACGTTTGGTGGTATGCAACTAAAACCATCTTGTCTTTGACCTTTGGAGCCAGGTATCTGACCTAGAAACTGAGAGGATGGCAAATTCTATGAAATGACAACTCCTTACCAACTAAGTAAAGCTATACTTCTTCAGGCTCTAGTACTTCCATAGAAGAGGAGATGCAGAAAATAGTGATGCATACAGGAAGAAGACAGAAAAATGAAAGAAAGAAAATATTAGGTATGTTAACTTGGACAATTCATTTAACCTTTCTCAGTTTCCTCAGTTTTTAAACTAGATAATCTCAAAAGTTTCTATAGCTACAAAACTGATTAAACTCTAGAAAGTGATGAGATTTGCAACAAATAACTCAAAAAAAAAAAAGGCTTAAGTTGCCAAACTAACTTTTAGTCAAGAGTAAACCTCTTAGAAATCAAAAATAAAATATTAATTCTTAGGTTTGTCATATTTAGTCACACAAAACCCCAAACCTTAGATCGACCCACTAATCACACCACATGATTGTGCAAATATGTTAAGTTAAGATAATATGAAAAATATACATATTTGTTAAAGAAAAGAGATTCAAATTGTTCCAGATAAATTCTTGGCCAGGCATGGTGGCTCATGCCTGCAATCCTAGCACTTTGGTAGGCTGAGGTGGGAAGATCGCTTGAGGCATGGAGTTTCAGACCAGCCTAGGCAACATAGTGATACCCTATCTCTATAAAAAATTAAAAAAAAAAAATTACGTGGGCATGTGCCTGTAGTCCCAGCTACTTTGGAGGCTGAGGCAGGAGGATCGCTTGAGCCCAGTAGTTTGAGGTTACAGTGAGCTATGATCATGCCACAGCACTCCAATAGAATGAGACCCTGTCTCGAAAACAAAACAAAACAAAACAAAAAATTTCAATGGAGTTGAATTCACTGAGTGGGAAGAGATTTACCAGATCAAAATTGGGTGTTTCACATGAAGAAGGGATGGAAGAGTGCATAAATGGAAAAAAAGGAATGATAAATCACTTTGCTTAAGTTAGTTAAAAATTCCATCTAACAGTTTGTATTCAAATCTTGCTCCATTTTAGTTTTTCTCTCTTATTTCTAATGCAAACCACTAAGTCACTAGTGAGGTTTAATATTTTAATAAAATTAAAATTTCCATGTTACGCAGTTATTATTCAGGTCAGTAATTAGACTGGAATCAATCAAGGTTTAAAGATGTGAAGAAATTTCTAGCATTTCCTAAAAATCCCCTCATTCACTTCCCTACATGTTTCACACAAGAAGGCAGCAAGGATTAAGCAGAATTTATTAGCCGGTGATTTTTAAGATTAAAAATAGTCAAATTCTGCCTCAACACTAAGGATGTCACGGTTAACGCATGTGTACATGTGGTGTGATTCACAGAGGACATCAGGGGCCTGAAGAGTCGGTCTGGGACTTTGCACAAGCACTAAATTCCGACTGAAAATTTAAGGAAAGAAAAGAAAGTCAGAGTGGAAAACTTTAGTCTGGAACACCCTCAAAGTCTCTAAACTCAAATAGCTCCCCGTGAAGCCAATCTTTCCATATTTATTAAAAACACAGGCCATTCCCCTGGGTGTCACCGAAGGGCTCCTGATGTTCCTCCCAGCTTCCTGTCTATCTGGGAATACCCTGATGCTGGTCCTTCTGGGGGAGACCAATTCCCTCTGTTCTGACAGGAATCGTGAGATACTGAAACAAATGCATGAGCAAAATAAAGGAAAAAAAGGTTGACAAACATTTACAAAGCAGACTCAAAGTGAGGGCAATTTTTTTTTAATTGGCAAAAATATTTCAAGTCAATATTTTTTCCTCACTTTAAACTGTTTTGATCATCCCTTAAAATAAGACACTAGAACTCAAGCACAATTTGCCAACCTAAGCATGGGCAGGGCAATATAATTCACATAAGTTGTTTCCTTAAAAAGATGCCCACTGAGGATGAAACCAATCCCATTGGCATTCCATAATGATTGGACCTCATTGCTCTCTGCTAACAACACAATCCCATTGACTGAGGGTTTTTGTTTTTTGTTTTTTAAGAAACAATACCACGAACAACTTTGCTTCATTCCTTTCCCTATTTCCTATCTTCCTCCATCACTTAATTCAAAATAGATTATCAGTTTGGTTTGATTACTTTATGCAACTTAGTAATGGAAAAGAAATTTCCAAATGCCTGAACTAATGTGGGCCATGATTCTACTGTGAATTGTAGCTCTATGAACCATAATATGATCTTAGCTGAATGCTAAATCCAAAGAGATTTTCTTTTGTTCTATTGATTCGTTGCATGTATACTGCCACATGTGTGGTGGTCACATATATACCATTGGAACTTCATACTAATTAAAAATAGGATTATCATGTTTTCAACTGTCATAATTTATCTTGTTTTTATGATATCTTAAAACTGTCTCACCCACAAAAATTATTAATAATTGCACAAAGGAAAAAGGAAAATGAACTCACACTGTCTGTTTCTGTCTTCATTTTAAATTCCATTTCTTTCATGTTTTTTATACGTAGAGTCTTTGCTCTAAAATAAAGGCAGATAGAAATAAAGATAGAAATAAAATAAGTCACTTCCTAATCACTACATTAATAATTAAGACACAAAAAGGATGTCATTTTATCTTAACAATTAGAAAGTGTATAAAATGGTTTAGATCCTAGAGCCCATTTGTTTCTAAGACATTGGTAAATCTATATATCTCTGGGATGTCAGGAATAGAGGGTAACAGCAGAGGTATGTAAGTAGAGATTAATCAATGTAATTTTCCTCATTTAGGTACCCAGAGCTCCATACCTCCAAGCTATAATAGGCAGATTGGTAAAGAAAAATTATAAAAGAGAAAAAGCCAAAGAGTTTGTAGTACTTGATAAAATCTTATTTTAGAGAAAAGGAAGGAAAGAAGGAATCTATGACAAGATAGAACCAGAAAATAATGAATCTGCATTTATAGACTCTAGAAAGATAGAATCTATGGAGATAAAATTTAACATTTATCAGAATATATTATTTCACAAATAATTTCAAGGGAAGGATGAGAAGTGAGTAGAAGTATTATCAGTTGAACACTGGGGAAGCAGAAAAAGAACTGGTCAAATTCTTTTGAAATTGTTTATAGATGTTCAGTAAAAAGA